CAACAATTTTACTAAAAGTCAACCAGGTCAAAAAATCAACGGTCAACGGTCTATAAAAGTCAAAGATCAACCAAGTCAACAGCCACCACGACGTGGAGATCTCTTGGCCACGTCGTAGGCAATACAGGACAAAATAGAGGATAAGCAAGACATCGCCACATTGTGGGCATGTCCGGACAAAACAATCGTGAGGTTGAACTTCACCACGTCGTGGCTACTAGCAGAAGCCATTTTTCTCATTAAGGACTTAATCCATTAAGTCCTTTGCTCCAACTTTACAGATGGCTTCCTTGCCCTCAAACGAACCATAAAAATCTTTACTTTATGGACATGCATGTTCAATGCATGTCTCTGCCAAACTAGGTTAAAATAGGATAATAAATGGAGTCAAAACTCCATGCATTGCACCAAACAACATGAAAATCTAGATCCAGAACATATGATGACCAAATGACCTCAAGAAGTACTAAAATTTGCCAACTTTATCAAAACCCACCATTTGTGCCACAAATCTTGAAGGAAAATGAGCTCAAAAGTCTAGATCTACAAGAATGAATCATAAAGGTGAGAACTTGGAGACTCACACAAGTCCAGAAGATGCACCAAGAGATAGAGACAAGATGCTAGCTGATCATTTGCTCAACAAAGCCCTCCTTCAACCTTCAAATAAGAAAAATGCCAACAAAGAGCTCAAAAGACAGGTGAAGACGCTAGGATTTCGAGATAGGAGGGTGGGGCTGATGGGAAATGACCTAACCATAGAGATAAGGCTAGCGATGCACACCAAAACCGGATCCTCGATTTGAAACTGATCTGATCCGAAAACCGGTTTTGTTCAAAACCGGATTTGACCAAACCGGATCGGATTGGATCCGATCCACCAGATTCAAACCGGATCCTAATCATACGGAAAAAATCGGATTTGATACCGGATCGAAAACCGGATTTGCTAAAAACCGGATTCAAATCCGCTAAAACCCGCTAACAATCGGTTTAAACTGGTTTGAAATCGGATTGGAATCGGATTCGGATTTTGGTTGAAACCGAATCGGATTTTTGACCGGATCGGATTTTTCATGACGTAATCAAAACCGGATTGGATTCGGATCCGAGTCGGATCAGATCGGATCCTGCATTTGTGCACCTATAGATAAGGCCTTTAAAATAAATAAAACCCTAAAAATCGTGGGCTTTGGCTGCAGCACTCGCCACGTCGTGGCATCCTGCTTGCCACGTCGTGGCTTCTATTAGGACACACGATTATATAAGTCTCACGTTACGTCATGACCACCAACCCACCACGTCATGACTTATGTTTTTCCCAAAAACCATACTTTTGACTCCTTTTGGTCACCAGCTGATCCATTCTGGAAAACGGGTGTTAGAACTATACCAAAATTAGAATTATTTGATGACGAAAGAGTATTGGTCCCAATTGTATGTAACGACCCAACACTCAAAACCATTTTTTTTTGTTTTTATATTAAATAACACATCACTCAAACGTATTTATCAAAACAAAAGGGAAATCATAATGTATTCATAATCATCCAAAACACATCAGAGTCAAATAAGTGAAAAGTCATGGTGTATGTGATGTGATCATCCCAAGCTCTTCCCTTTTGATCCGAAAGTAACTGAAACATAAAGTGAAAACCGTAAGCAAGAAACTTAGTGAGTTCCCCAAAATATCACATACCATACATATACGCCAGCTCAAGGCTGTGCCAGGTCTATTTCACCCCAGAGTCTATTTCAACTCATGTGTCGGCCCACGGCCGTACCAGGTCTATTTCACCCCCGAGTCTATTTCAACTTATATGTCAGCACAAGGTTGAACCGGGTCTATTTCACCCCACATACATATAGCAAACAGACACACAAGCATACAACACATACAACAGGAGTCACAAAGACTACAAGCACATAACATATCCTAGTGTCCTGCAATATAGTGAGCAAACTCACTTCAGTCCGCTGATAAGTCGAATAAATGCTCGGGCTGCTGTACCGGAGAATTCCGCACTAACCAATCATATAAAATCCTAATTAATAATTAGGTCATAATCCAAAACCAGAGGTTCTAATCCAACAATCCTTACCCCTAGGGTAAAAAGACTATTTTACCCTTCTCCCATTTTCAGCCTATCAACTAAAACCTAGCCTAAAAGAAATACAGGCCCAAAAGAGGCCCAAAATCAATTCAGCCCACTATCAGCGCGTACGCATGGCGTACCATCCTCGCACGCCCCGTGTACGTGGTCCGATCGAGAATCGGGGTTCGAATCCAATACGCTCAACGTACTCAAAAGGACGCCCAACGTACTGGTCATAGACCCTTTTCTTGCCCAAATGTCTTAAACACTTAAGGACTTAATGTCCAAACCCCATAACAACATCATAGCAAGGTCTTAATCCATAAAGTCGAAGACTTTTGGCTTTTGCATGGCTTAATAAGGTCAAATCTTGGATTTTAACATACTAACTTCATGAAACGACCATCAACCTTTGCATGGTTTAGCTTAATCCATCAAGACACCGTTTTATACACAAGGGACATCAGAAACACTAAGATCTATCATCATAACCTTCTGGAGTAGCTTATACTCTCAAGAAACACCTCAAGGGACCAAAACAAGCCAAAAACCCTAACTATCTAGAACTAAGAGATGAATCAACAAGGTAAGGACTTGGTACCTTCTGAAGAACGATCAAGGTGGCTAAGATATGGCTCCACAAGCTTTAATGCCACAAGAGCAACTTCCAAGAGATCCTTCCTTCTTCAAGATTACAAAAAACACCAACAAAGGTCACTTCTAAGCTCAAAATACTCAAATGGCAGTTAGGGTTTCGTGTGGGAGGGTTGATGAGGGAAGGAGGCTGATGAGGGGGCAGCCTCAAGGCTCATAATAGGGATTATATAGGGGTTAAACCCTAAAAATTAGGGTTTTTTGAATCACAACATACGCCCAGCGTACACATTGTACGTCCAGCGTACAAAGGTGCCCCCTCATCCAAGTCAGGTGAGTACGTCGTACGTACTCACACCCCTTTACATATTACGCCCATCGTAATATGCCCTTTCATTCTTCATAATAATCAAACACTTAACAAGAAACGACAAGAAATATAATACCTCACAAAATGGATGTTACACTATAGATGTAGTATTATTTTTGTTTACCATATCGATATCGTCACCATAGTGTTTTGATACAATAAAGCGACGAACATATCCAGGTTCAAAAATTAGGTGAGTTGACTCTGGAATGTAAAGTTATATAATCAAAAAGTAGATTGTTATAAAATGTTTATAGACGAAAAAAATCTTAAAATAACATTAAATTATATTAACACTTAAATGTAAGTAAAATGAAAAAAAATAAATGTAAAATTCTATAATTAACATTAAAATGAATGGAAAAATACTATAACTCATAAAATGAAAGTAAGATGCTATAAATGTCAATCTGGGATGTTTAAATTGATGGGTTTTATACATAAAATAGAGTTTAACAATCCAATTTAAACTGCATTGAGTCCATGGACTAAGGCACTAAGCCCATGACAAAAAGAAACCACAACAATGGTTAGGGTCCTAAGTATCCAAATTAAAAAAATGGATTTTATTACGAAAATACATAACCAAATGGGACAATTTTATTATGGGATAATGATTTGTAAGGTTAACTAATTTTAGGTTTTGTACATATTTAATGACTAAACTTATTTTTATGTTTGATATATTGAATTTGTTGAAAATGTCCAAAAAGTATCAATATGAACGGGTATAGAGGGGTTTGCTTGACATCTATTCGGGCCAAAGCATGAGTTTTATGGTTAACTTCGTCGGGCAATCATGATTTTGCCGCCGTCTTTTCTAGTTCATCTATTCCTAATTCTTGAAATCAATTTCAAAGGATCAAGGGTTTCGTGTTCCAGTTTCAAAGTTTGAGTTATCGAATTCCTAAAAACTGAGAGTTTGAGTTCCCTAATTCTTGAAAATCGACGGCTTGAGTTCAAGAACCAATCTAGGGCTTGAGTGTTTGGAACCGATTCAATTCTAGGATTGTTCATCAGAGCTTCTAGGGTTGTTCATCATCTTCTACGGTTTTTCAAAAACCCGGATACACATGAACAAACACACCCTTTGTTTCAGATCTAATGTCTGTGTGTGTGTGTTTTCTATTAAGTTCTTGTTTTGGTTTGCGGTGTTCAATTCCAACAATAAAACCCAAATTTGAAGTGTTTATTCACTTGCATTTTCATGTTCCGGAGATATCGTGTGATCTGGAACTCAAACCCCAAAAACAATGTAATAATGGTATATTAAACAAAAAAACAAGTTTATTCATTTTACAATTTACCCTTGTAACTATATACATTTTATACTTAAATTCAGTTTTTACTGTATAAAAAACTATTGTTACGGTTTACCATGAAATAGACTGTTTATGTTATACATAATTATCTAGTAGTATAAATTTGCATATAATTAAAACGCGAGGAAACAATATGTACATTATTAGTATTACTATAAATCTCTTGAATATTTGATAGGAAATCGGAAACGTGGCATTTGTTGGTTGGTTTTCTGGATATATGTTGTTCTTTAGCTATCAAAGATATGACCCTCCAATCAAAATGAAGCAAAAGATTCTGAAGATATACACCTACAGATTACAGAATCCACAATCCTATTTATAGAACCTGTGAAGAAACCATAAGAGTCAACCAGTCAACCACCACTTTTCTCAACATTCTTACCTTCTAATCTGAGAACAAATTCAATGGCTGCTTCCACCATGGCTCTCTCCTCCCCTTTCACCGGACAAGCAGTGAAAACAGCTCCCGCGGGCGGGTTTCAATGAGGAAAACCGCATCTGCAAAGAAGGTTGCACCATCAGGAAGTCCATGGTACGGACCCGACCGAGTCAAGTACCTAGGCCCGTTCTCCGGTGAAGCCCCATCATATCTCACCGGTGAATTCCCCGGTGACTATGGCTGGACTTTCTGCTGACCCAGAAACATTCTCAAAAAACCGTGAGCTTGAAGTCATCCACTGCAGGTGGGCCATGCTCGGAGCTCTTGGGTGCGTCTTCCCGGAGCTCTTGGCTCGTAATGGTGAGGCTGTTTGGTTCAAGGCAGGATCACAGATTTTCAGTGAAGGTGGGCTTGGCTTGATTACTTGGGAAACCCTAGTTTGATCCATGCTCAGAGTATTCTAGCCATCTGGGTGATCTTGATGGGTGCGGTTGAAGGTTACAGAATTGCAGGTGGACCCTTGGGTGAGGTTGTTGACCCGCTTTACCCTGGTGGTAGCTTTGACCCGTTAGGGCTTGCTGATGATCCAGAGGCTTTTGCTGAGTTGAAGGTGAAGGAGATCAAGAATGGAAGACTTGCTATGTTCTCCATGTTTGGGTTCTTTGTTCAAGCCATTGTTACAGGAAAGGGACCATTGGAGAACCTTGCTGATCCCGTTGCCAACAATGCTTGGTCTTATGCCACAAACTTTGTACCCGGAAAGTGAATGTAATGAAATTTTTATGTAAATTAATTAATTAATTAATATATGGTTTTAGTCGCATCATTTACTGATTTAATCTACCAAATGATTGATGATAAACTAATATATATGCAACAAGTTAACGTATAACATATATCAAGGATTATACAGTATTAAAAAAAATTGACACCTAAGGATTTTAGTTCTTAATGTCATGATGAACATATAGATGAATATGAGTGAGATTATTAGTGAGGAAGAAGCTTAAATGGCTTCTGAAAAACGTAAATCAGCAGGTCCAGGGCCTAAAATCCCTTTCTGTTCAGTTATCTTCCCCAAGCTGAAAGTTGATTCAGAATGTGATGCTCCAATTTTCTCTTCATCCCTCCACACACTACCCTGCCACTCCCTCTGAAACAAAAAACCAACTTTGTAATTTATTCTAACATCAAGGGTCAAAGATGGAATAACTTGCCTCATCAAGGATTTGGGTTCCATGATCATGCAATAATGGGGTCATAAGTGGAGGGACAACATCCGGATCAGGCTTTTGAAATATGAATGTAGTATATAAACCTGCATAACAGGTTTGAGGTATAAGTAATGAGGGTAGTTTTGGAAAACGATTTATAAGATGAAAGGACAATGAAACCGACACAAAACCTAGTACATCATAGAATTTTGGTAAGAGCCTCCCTCTGGGGTCCACAAGACCATGACCGGCTTCTAGAAGCATCCCAGAAAACTGTGCTCTGATATAACAAAGTATAATGCAAAAATCACAGCAGCGAAAATTTGAAAAAAAAAATATCACACTCCCAAATCCCACCTATTATCATCATAAAATTCCAGCAAGTTTTGTATCTCCACATATTCAAGACCAGCTTCTCTTGCCAGTCTGAAAAAATGTCATAAACATTAATTAGGAAAAGTTTTAATAAAAACAAGAGTTATCACCACATAAAAGATGAAATGAAATGCCAAAATCTTAACCTGATCAAGCTTGGAAAATGTACCAGACAATGTGTTTCAGCAGACGTGTCATTTGCAATTTTCATCTGGTACTTTTTCCCAAAAAAAGGAAACCTGAAAAATTAAACCATATAATAAAGATAGGTTCAGACGTTTGATTACATTTTATAAGAAAATACAGCATGTTGGGCGTTTTTATTATACTTTTCTTCTTCAACTTCAAAAGTGATCATATAGTTTTCTGATCGAATGCAATTGGGAACAAGGTTGGGTTTCATGGCGCCACTTCGGTTGTGGTATGCTTCAACATTTTTCTGATACTTTGCCCTGCAATGCAATCCAATTATTCAAAATGAAAGCAAGAAAATGATGCTATAAATAAATTCTGACAAAATGACTCCCAAAAACATGGTAGCCTACCATATAGTAGATGAGTCCAGAGTAATACCGATTAAGTAACCCCCTGGTTTCAATAAAGATGACACATTATGCAGAAGTCTTCTTACTTTCTCTTCACTTTCAAAACAGAACTGCAGTATATAACAGAAGTTTACTTTATATGTTCAATATGAGAGGGAGAGGTCAATATTAACACAAACAATGGAGTTTAACCTGCAAATGTTGCATGCAACAAACAATATCAGCTGTATTTCCCTTGTCCCCCAAATTTGATTCCAATTTTTCCTGAAGAAGGTCAACATCCATCAGTGGACAAACTACAAAAACTCAGAAATGCTTAAATGAGTACCTATCTTAATAACGCATGAAAGAGACAAAATATATGCAATTACATGATAACATGACTCACAATGCAGGGATCGAGCTCATAAAAGTCTGAAGTGTAAGTCTTTCGTTGACTCTCCCATGCTTCTCGGACTTCTCTAACTCCAGATGATGCTTCATCTGTAAGCATAATAACTCAATTTGTTCAAGATATGTTCTGATTTTGTTTTATTTTTTACTTTAATTTTGTCATACATCTCCAGAAATATGAAATTAAAATCTTCTAAAAAGATTCGTTCAACCATAATTAAAATCTTCTAAAAAGATTCGTTCAACCATAAACCCTATCTAAGATTTTTAAGACGAAGGACTGAACAAATCCATACACGTAGGAAAACTGAATCGATCACTAACAGATAGGAACGTCTTTGATTGTATGTGAAATTACCAATTCCGATGAAGTGACCTATTTGAGCTTCGTCCCATCTCTCTTCGTCTGGTACTCTTCCGCAATACAAATCACACACCTGAAGAACAAACCAATTTTAATGTCAAATTGCGGAAACGGCATGAATATGTACATGAACAAAAACATATAGATACAAAGAGAGTATTTGAGTAGAGATTACAGACAGTGGCGTAGGGAGAGACAAAAATCTTAATAAGAGCAGTCTTAACTACTTCGAGTAGTGGATGGTGAGTTGAATCAGCGATCCTGTTGTGCGTTGGGATTGTTGGAGTCAGCATCGTCTTCTTCCCCTAAAACCCTACACTCGTTTGGGAAGAATAAACGGTGAGTTCGTTAAGACAGAAGATGTAAGCGCGAGTTTCAAAACAATAAATGGTTCCGGTTGGAGGAAGAGCAAGGTTGGGAAAAATCCTCACCAACAAATCCGAATAATCGAAATGGAAACGGTACCATTTCTTGTTTTATGTGTAACATCCGTTATCAAGTTCAACCAATTGTGTGTCTCCAACCGGGTAAATCACCTGCTAGGGGGTTTAGTGATGGCTATTTGGTTCGCAGATAGTGTTAAGTGACATTTAGATTTAGTTTGTATGTTTACGTAAGAAACTGAAATATGTTAAATAATTGAAATCTATAATGAATTGGAATCCAATTTTATAGTTATTTTGGTTGACAGAAAATGGAGTTGGAATTCAATTTCATGATCTGTTTGATTGGAATGAAATAGAATCTGAATGATGTAAAATATCAAAATTATCCTTTTACATTTTTTGTTTAATTTTATTGTGTTTTATAAGTTATATGGTGGTGGTGGTGGGTAGTGGCGGTGGCGGTGGTGGTAGTGTGGTTGGTGGTGGTGGTGAAGGTGGTTGTTGTGTCGGTGGCTGGTGGCGGTGGTGAAGGTGGTTGTGGTTGGTGGTGGTTGTAGTGGCGGCGGTGGTGGTGGCGTTTGCAGTAGTGTGGTGGGTGGTGACGTTGGTTGTAGTATGGTAGGTGTTGGTGGTGATATGGTAGAGGGTAATATGGTAATCTTGCTCTTAACCCAGGATGTTTTGATATCTCCATAAGACCTATACACCGGCCCACATTTCATAAATCTTAATTTAATTATATTCGTTCCCTTTTAATTCGACATCTAATCTTTTTTTTACTATACTGTTACATAATTTGGTACACTTGCCTGAGGTGTATAGCAGTCCCTAGTTAACCATTTTGTAAATTTAAAACCTGAATATAAATAACACATCACATTTCATCATTCTATAATTTATGTGTCCTAATCTAGGAAGACAGAAATTAATATATGAACATTCTATACTACAACTTGAAGAAAATAAAGACTCAACGAAATAAATATATGTAGCATTTTCATTGATACTTAGTTTGAACACCACATTAACAACATAGACCTTGGCAACAAACACATCAACCTTGGATATATTCATTTTATCATATTCTATCACAACTTTATACCATTTTTACATAGTTTGAATCCATAAATTGTTTTTTTTTTCCTAATACTAGGAACATGAAGAACATCCTTTAGTGCAACTTTCTTCCAAAGAAAAGCCTGCATAACTATGCATCAACTACTTTGTGTAATTCCTTTAAAATGGTGTTAATTTGGTAATGATAGCCCCACCGATAAACTTTTCAAAAATTTCAATAGTTGGATTCTTAAATTTAGAGACACAAATCATAAACTCATGAACTTGATCCATGAATGACACAATATCTTTCATGTTAAATACAAAGAAATTAAAAGTAATGAACTTGTCACAACATGACAGCTGTTCTGGCCCAAGCTCATGATATTTTAAGGTTTCTTTCGTATTTGAATCTGGGGTTCCTTATCAGCCTCCATCACCCTCAAACCCCAGAAAACCCTAACCCTAAACCCTTTTGGTAATTCTTGGCTTATTTTGGTGCTTTTGGTTGTTTGGAGAAGAAGAAGAAGAAGAAGAAGGTGTCTAGTGTGTTGATTCAACAATCAAACATTATCATCGACATCTAGAGCATTCTTTGGATTCTTGTAAGTGATTAAGTTCCCATCTTTTAGTGTTTTTCTCTCTAGATATAGGTTTATATCATATCTGGTCCCTTTCATAAGGTTTGTATGGTTGGAATAGATAAAGGTTGCAACCTTATGGCTTCTCTAAGTCCCAAGAGTATTTTATCTCATAAATATAGAAAGTGATGGTGATTTGGGAACCTTGCATGAAATCTAAGTCATATCGCATCTTTTGACCTAGATTTGGGAAAAGACATGCTTGGGGTATACATGCCCATAAAGTTTACATTTTTACGCTTCATTAAGATCCTTAAAGTGCTTCTGGAAGTTTTGAGTTGAAGATTTCTTAGATTAAGCGCTTAATGATTTAGTCTCATGCTTAAATTTGCCTTTTTGGACCTTGGAATTTAGATATGGACTTAAAGGGGGTGTCTTAAGGAATAAAGTTGGAAATTTTATCCATTAAGACATTGGAAAGGACCAGATCTGAACTTTGGGGCTCTTAAAGTCGGAAGAAATCAGATTAAGCTCAATTAAGCTATTCAGACCACTCCACACGGCGTGACCTTAGGCTGCCACGATGTGACGATTGGGGAATCATTGATTGTTTTGGCATTTTGTGCCCACGAAGTGGAGGGCCACTGTTGGTTATTTTGACTTTATCTTTGACCGTTGACTTTTTTCATGGGTTGACTTTGGTCTCGATGGCTGGTTTTAGTGTGTAGATTAAGGTTGGACCTAGTATGTTTTAGTAAGAGTATTGTAGCATCTATTGCGGGGCTTTGACCTGTGGTCTAGCTGGTTTTGCGAGTCAGGTGAGTCTTTTCACTATACTGTATAGGATGCTAGTTGTCTTTATGATGCTTGCATTGTGTGTTGGGATTGACCCATCGACATGCTCATTGGGTCGGGCCCATTAGTATGTATGTTGGGTTGGGCCCATTTATATGATGAACTGGGCCCATTAATATGTGGGGTTGGGCCCGTTATGATGGGATGAGCCCAATGTGCGGGTTGGACCCGTTGATATGTATAGTATGTGGTATTTTGGAGAACTCACTAAGCTTTGTGCTTACGGTTTATGGTTTAAACATTTTTCAGGTACTTCCAGTTCCAGAGGGAAGGACCCGACGTGATCGCACTGCATCCCCCAAAGTTTATTCTGTATTGGCTAATTGTGACTTTTACTCTGATGTTTTGAGAAAACTATTAGTTTTACTATCTTTTGGAGTAAAATGAATGAATGGATTGATTGGTTAAAAATGAAAATTTTACTTTGTATAGTTGGGACATTACAATATATGGGCATGTATAGTATTTATTTACATTTGTGTATATGTAATATTTCTATAAATCCATGTATAATATTTATTTAAAAGCGTGGGTGAGTAATGTTTCTATAGATACATGTATAATATTTATTTATAAGTGTGTTATAAATATAATCTTATTTATTTAATATTATTGTAATGTAAAAAAGATAAATTATATAGTTGTTAAATGCTAATTAGTAGAAGGGGTGTGTTTGACAATTTCTGTAAGTTGCAAAATGAAATATACTAGGGATGAGCAGCGGAACAGGGCACTCGCTTTTGGAACCGGAACTGGCGGTTTCGGAACCAGAACCACCTTTAACGATTCTGGTTTCAGTTTCTTAAATTTTGGAACCGCCTTTAGCGGTTCTGGTTCCAGTTTCTTAAATTTTGGAACCGCCTTAGCGGTTCCGGTTCTAGTTTTTATTTTTTCGGAACCGCTATCCGCTGGGTATCACCCGGAATCGGCTGCATACATAATATGATTGTTGGAAATTTTAAGTTATACTTTTATTCTCAATTAAAAAAAACTAAAAAATGCTCATATAAAAACATGTCTTATTTGTTATTGTATATGTAAATGTGAATGTGGGATAAGCAACCACCAAGAGGTAGCCGATGTTTATAATATTGAAATAGCAAAACGTTGCCAAAAATTATTCCACATCGCTTATGGGTAGGGGTGTCAAAAAAACCCAAACCCGATTAGCCCGACCCGACCCTAACCCGAATAATGTAATTAGGGTCGAGTTTAATACGATTAGAATTCCAAATCGGGTTATTCAGGTTAGCCTGACAATCCCTATTTGTAGTTAGGGTCGGGTTTAGGGTTGATTTTTACAAAAAAATCGGGTTTCGGGTCAGTCCGAATAATCCGGTTTGGAATTCACAACCTTTACATATTCCACTGCTCTCTACTTGAACAGTACAAATAGACTACAAACCATTTTAAATGTAAATTTTTGTGACTCTAGAAGCAAACGAGGGTCAAGTCACTCCCATTTGTGAAGTTTAAGTCCAAAAAGATATAGAACCTCCACATCTCAAAGCGGCTGAGAAAGTAAAGATTTTATTTTGATAGTTATTTCTACTTTAAACTAACTATAAACATGAATAAACTACATGGTGTTGATCGATTAACTAGAGATTGATTGAAAGTTCAACCAATTAATATTTAGAGTAAATTACACGAATGGTCCCTATGGTTTGGGGTAATTTGCACGCTTGGTCCTTAACTTATTTTTTTAACTCGGAAGGTCCCTACTGTTTGTTATTGCTATATGCTTGGTCTCTATTGTTTGTTTTTGTTACGCGTTTGGTCCCTATCTTACGTAAAAAGACAATTATTTAAATAGGGAAAAAAGGGTAGGGTAAGTAAGGTAAGGTGAGGGGGTGAGGTTGGGGTGTGTTTATTTAAATAAATTAAAAAATCAAGGGAAAAATAGACTTTTTATGTAAGACAGGGACCAAGCGTGTAACAAAAACAAACAGTAGGGACTTTTCGAGTTAAAAAAATAAGTTAAGGACCAAACGCGCAAGTTACCCTAAACCATAGGGACCATTCGTGTAATTTACCCTAATATTTATAACAGAATAACTCTTTTGGGCTATTATAGTATGCATGCTTTCTCGTAAGTTAGTAATAACCATGAGGTTCATGATCTTTTATTTTTAATTTATTTCAGTTTGTATGTATTCTTGACGTTAACAAAAGAGTAAAAAAAAAATGGTTGGGATTTATATCACATTGCAATCTTGATAAAACCATATATATTATGTTTAAATTAAGTGTTTAGTGTATTAACCCGACCTTATTAACCCGAAACACGATTAACCCGAACCCGAGCAACCCATACCTTAATAGGGTCGGGTGTCGGGTTAAATTATTTTTTGTGAAAACCCGACTAACCCGATCCATTTAACCCGAAACCCGATCGGTTTGACCCGATTAACAACCCTACTTGTATAATAAGTGAATTTGAATCAAATGAAGCTATAAAAATAGATTACTATCACGTCGTTGATAATTTAGCATCCTATCTCACATATATTTTGTGATAATGTAAATGGGAGGGAAGTCATTATAAATTGTGAGGTCTCTAGTTAGATAAATCTTAAGAATGATCATTGTCTTAAATAGTTGAAAGGTTTTAGCAACGAGATACAACATCCTAAGAACTGTCGGTTCCGATCCCACTAAATTTTGAAGGGACCCACCTATGCTCATCCCTAAATTATAATAAATATATATTTTTTGGGTTAAAAAATAAAGTAGGCTCAGAAATGAAATACTATTTACTCAATTTTTTTTGAGAAAAAAAAAAATGAATTGGTAATGATCTAAAAAATCCACAAAAAGTTTTTTTCATCCACCAATACTAGATAATATTGTTGAAACAAAACCATTAACCACATTTTGGTTGCGGTTCTTTTTCGCTCATTCGTAAGAGTTAGGATGCAAAAGATTAAAAGAATGAGTGACACTTAATCTAACAACTAACTAGAAGGTTCTGGATTCAATCCAAGAGATATTTAAATTATTTGCCGTTTCAAAATAAAAATTAAAATAAAATAAATAATTGCTACGTTCAAAACTAAATTTTAATAACGATCCCCATCCGATAAAAACTTGAATTTTATACTTTTTTGGGTAGTGGACTATTGGTACAATTGAATTCGGCCCAAACTCTCGATGCCACAAGCCCACATGCACAAATCTTGATAGCAAATTGGCAATTTGTAATTACTCCTGTTTCTGGGCCTTATTTAGTAGCTACCAGCCTACCAGGTTACCAGCCCACCCACGTCAATGTTATGCAAAATTTATAAACCCTAGAAATATATCTGTCGTATCGTGTTTAAGAAGCGCGGCGGAGGCAAAGGCAAACCTAAGAGAAGATCAGAAGAAGCGGAAATGGTGAAGTTTTTGAAACCTAACAAGGCTGTCGTTGTTCTCAACGGCCGTTTCGCTGGTCGGAAGGCCGTGATCGTAAAACAGTTCGATGACGGAACTCGTGACCGTCCCTACGGTCACTGCCTCGTCGCTGGAATCGCCAAATATCCGAAGAAGGTGATTCGTAAAGATTCAGCAAAGAAGACTGCGAAGAAGTCGCGTGTGAAGGCATTTATCAAGCTAGTGAACTACAACCACATAATGCCGACGAGGTACACTCTCGACGTCGATCTCAAGGATGTCGTCTCGGTCGATGCTCTCCAGTCGCGCGACAAGAAGGTTACAGCTTGCAAAGAGACCAAAGCAAGGCTAGAGGAGCGGTTCAAGACCGGGAAAAACCGTTGGTTCTTTTCGAAGCTCCGATTCTGAGCTGTTTTTCGTGTCAGGTTTTGTTACGTTTTTCCCAATCTTAGTTGATGAATGTTGATGATGATAGACTGATTAATGCTAGTTTACTTGTATCGATTTTTGGTTGCAAATCAAGATACGTTTCAAGGATTAGTTGTTTGAACCTCATGGTTGTTTGTTGGATTGGTTATCGATATGATTTTGTTCCTTTCATCGTATAATTGCTGTGTTATATTCATATCCACACCATTCATAATGAATAGAATACTTTCAGCTGATCAATACAAATCGATATGATTGCATTTGAATAGTCTTTAATCAGATTAGCTTAGAAGTGTATATTTTATTAATCTCAGACACAGTAGGCGTAGAATTCGTTCACATGACTGTACTGACAATATCGATTTGGACTATATGATTTGAATTCATTGTGTTCCATCGATTTTCAATGCAGAAGATGACTGTTTTATCGTTGTACTAGTATTTCATCTCACGAATTAAACTAGTTAGTGACATTGAAGTAAGCCTAGTGTTGAAATATGAAAGATCATTTGTTTACAAATGCAATTAGAAGGGTTAGAAAGTTTAAAGTACATTAAATTAATTTATTAGTTTGAGAATTGTATTAGATATGAACCGTGATATTTGGATCTATGATTCTGCTCAAATGATTATAAAAAGAGTGGAATAACAGCAAATGATTCATCATACATCATACAAGATAAATAAAGAAAAATGATCTTTTCGAAAAATATTTGGATCTATGATTCTGAAACTTAGGATGCCCATTTGATGAACAATCTTCCCCTTATTAGTACATTGTTAAAGTTTAATATAACCAAGTTCAAACATTTAGTACATTGTTTCTTAAATAGTAAAATCGTCAAAATATAGTTAACATACTATTATCTATTACGTATTTTCTAAATTTTAATTGTTGTTTTTACAAACATTAACTTTAATCAAAAGTAATTTATTTACATTTTTATTTACAAACATTAACTTTAATCAGAACACTCCACTTATTAAATATGACTTATGATTCTTATAAAACAAGACCAACCCGTTGGTGTCCAAAGGCTAAGATTAAGTTTGAAGATGATATATATGTATAGTCTTTGTCTTATACCAAATTTATGTCGTTTAAAAGTATGGTTCGGTACCTTGGTCTATCTCATAAACCTAAGTTAAAGTTTAATATCAAATAAGTCAAAAAGTTCACATTCTAAGCTAATCTTCAAATTAACAAAAACGGCAAGACCAAGTTTATAAATTATAACTGCCTTTTATAAATGCTCTTAATGTTATTTTGGATTTTTGATCTTGTAAATATAGCTTTTAGTCCATATTTATGAACATTTTTTTAAATTTATTTTGAATTCTCTTAACATGTTTAATTGTAGTTTTCTTGTAATTGATTTTTTTTTCCAGAGAAACACAAATCTTTTCCCAAAAGTAATCCACATATTTGATTGACTTTTCGGTTTGACTCATAATCTTCGTTGTTGGTGTTGTTTATAATGGTTTTAATAGAGAATCAGTTGCATTTGTGCTTGTTAATTTAGAAATTGAAGTTTTTGCTTTGCAAACTTGGATGAAATTGTATAACAAATGATCTAATGTGATCTAATTTGGAAACTAATGGTTTAACATCTACTAATTTTGAGATTGGAAGGTTCTACGTTAACAGAAGGGTCTGTGTGTTAACTTGACAATGAAATGTAATGTCTTTAGGGGCTGTTTGGCAGGATCTGAATTTTTTAGATCTGAATTTCTAAAAGATCTGAATTTCTAAGAGGGTCTGAAAATTTAAGAGCTGAATGTTTAACATGCTATTTGGTTGGGACCTCTGAATTGTTGTGCTGAATTATTAAAATGACCATTTTACCCTTCTGTTTTATTTATTGAATTCAACTGTTTATTTAGAAAATAACCTAATAAATTTATTAAATATGTATTAAAAAAAATATAAACACCATATAAAATCCAAATTTAGCATAAATCAAAATTAAACACAAATCCAAATCAAATATAAATATTTTTAAATCCATAAAATCATACTAAAATCCAAATAAAATCCTACAAATTTAATTTCACCCCAATTGATTCGCAATCTGGTCACACAAATTATTCATGTATTCATTTCCTTATGAACCCCATTCCATATCATGTACGTTTTCGCCATCATTCTCTCCCCCTTGTGCTTGAGCATTGTTCTCCTCGAACGTCATAAATAACTCATCATGAATATCGCATTTCCTTATGAAATTGTGGACTGCAAAACAAGCAACGACTATATCTCTTTGCACTGAAAAAGGAAAAGGAGCCATTCGCTTTAGGATTGAGAATCTCGCCTTTAAAACACCGTAAGCACGTTCAATAACATTTCTGAGTTGCGCATGTGCATGATTGAATTTTTCTTCCTTAGTTAACGCACGTCGCCGTCGATAATCGGCTAACCAATACCTCGTGTTGCGGTAAGGAGTCATAAATCCACGAGTGTTAGTGTATGCAGCATCGCAAAGGTAATATTTATCTATACACATGAGTGAAGGAAATATTATATATAGAAATTTAAAATTGTATTTTAGAATAAATTTAAAAAGAATTACAAACCTGGAGGAGGGAACGGAAAGCCTAAAGTCGGGTTACATGCAACTTCTTTCAAAACTCGTGAATCATGTGTTATACCCTCCCAACCGGCCCATACGAATGTGAATATCATATCAAAATCACAAATTCCTAAAACATTTTGAAAGCATTCACCTTTTCCTCTTCCCCTGTAGCGAGTTTGTTGATCAGCAGGCACGACTGCATGTACAAGAGTTCCATCTAACGCACCTATTGCTCCAGGAAAGATTTCTTTTAGCCTACGATGTCTCTCTGAGGAATTCACGGTTGCATTATAATTCGTTGGCACTATAACTTCTTTTGCAAAAATCATCATTGCATTTACCACCTCATGAAAGCATCTATGAACTGTTTCTGTGGAGTGTTGAAACCTTCGTTTGATAATCCTGAACCGTTTATTATGTGCTATAGTTGTCAAGAACATAGCCATCTTTTCTTCAACGCTTATATGCCTACTACTTTGCAACCAATTGTTTCGTCTAAAATGATTGCATAAAAGTACATACGCTTCACGTGAAAGACGCATCAGCTCATGACATTGTGTAGAAGTTCTATGTAGCAATTCTTATGTATGTTGATGACCGCTCATTTCCGAATCATTATCAATTGCCCTTCCAATTCTATTGGATGCTAGATTCAACCAATAGCAACATAGTAAAAGGAAGAAACTGAAGGAATTGAGCGGAAAATATACCTGCTGTCGGTAATGACTTCAGTGGCGTCGTCGGAGGAAGAAGATGGGCTGCGGCGGAGGAAGGCGGCGCTGCTACCGTCGTCGCTGGCGTAATCGCTGGGCGTCGCCGACGGTGTCTTCAATGGCGGCGTCGCTGGTAGGAGCAGAAGAGAAGACGATGCAAAGCAAGAAGAGTCGAAGGGAAGAAAAGAAAAGAGGCGGTCGAATCCTTTAGGGCAAATAGAAACGCACCTCTCGTTTTTAATTTTCAGACTTTGTTTGCCATCTGAAAAAATAAGAGGCATTTTTATTTTTAAGAGGTAAAAATTAATACACAAACAAACGCTCTGAATCTTAAATTTTAAGACATTGCCTCTTAATTTTGCAATTAAGAGGTAAACAAACAACCCTTTTATTGTATGAGTATTGATGAGAAAAAAAGAGTATCAAAGAAATCCAATGATTTTATTATAGATCAAAGAAATCCAATGTTTTTATTAATGATCAAATCACATCAAAGATATATTAAAATTTAAAACATATATTGGAATTTAAAGGAGTGTTTGGGATAACTTCTTAAATTAAAAAGTCATTTTTAGTAAAGAACTTTTTGATTCATGTCTTTTTCCAAAAGATAATTTTAAAATGTGTTTGTATAAACTTTTGAGGAGGGAAAGGGAAAAAAAACCAAAAGTTGCTAAAACTTCTTAACCTCCTCCTTTTTCTTCTTCTCCAAAAGCTAATTTAAAAGATATTTTGAAGTTACCAAACAACTTTTTAAACTTTTGACTTTTTGAAAAAGTCAAAAGTTTCAAAAGTCATTTAAAAAGCAAAGTCAAACACCCTTTAAGAGTTGTCTTTCTATTTAATTATGAAAACAATCTAAAATATCATACTAGCCTAAAACATTTTTAATTGCCCGCAACAATCTTTGAAAATCTTGCAAATAGAATTTGATGCTCACTTACCAACAAAAAAATTGGACACAACATTTCTCCTTGTTCCAAAAATGATATGATGTTTCTTTCAAAATTTAATGTTTGAAAACCACAATAAACAACCGCAAAAAAAAAACAACGTAAGAATAATGAGCTAAAATGAAATAGTAGTTTGCCAAATATAAATGTTTTTTTGAAGAAAAAAGTTCGTTATATATATATATATATATATATCTTCTAATAAAAGAGTCCATCTTTGTCCATGTGTCATTTTCTTATAATTTTTAATTTTTTTTTCTACTCTTAAAAAAATGATATGTGTAATTTTCTTTGACTTTGATTTTAAATTTAAATAAAATCATGCTAATTAGCATTTACAAAACAAATCAAAATCTTAATCCCTAATTAATTGGGATTGACCAAAGGGCTTCTAGCTCAGCGGTATCCGGTGTTGTCCTCCCTCCTTGAGGTTGAGGGTTCAAGTCCCCCCGTGGAAATAGATGAATATAAGGTGTAGTTTAGGAGTAGGTTAGATTTGCCGTTTCAAAATAATAATAATAATAATAATAATAATAATAGGGATTGATTGTAATCCTTTTAACACGATTCAAATTCATAACTCAAACCAATCCATAAATACTCTATTTATGAACTTAACAAATGATTACAACTACTTAAAATAATATATAAGCTAATATAAGTTAATAAGCGAATTTTTGTTCATGGTTCTAACCATGATGATTCTAAATTTTTTTTCATGAGGTGTGTTGATCTAGCAA